AACTAAACATTAATTCCACACATATTTACTGTACTTCAAAGTGTAAAATAAAATAATATAATCTTCACATACGTCTATTAAAAATTAAAGATGTATTTTATTTCATTGAGTATGAAATTATCAAGAAAATCTTTATTCTATTAACTTAATATCAGCTAGGAATCAATATGTGATCCAAAGACATAATAACTTTGAAATATTTAAACTTCTATAAATGTGAGGATCATTTTCATCTTCTTCATGAAAACATCTTAATCTATTTATGCCATATCCGGATATTTTAAGGGCAAATCTTGAGTCTATATAACATTCATCGGATCTGAGATTGCCATGGTATTGTATTGGAGTTGATTGCAAATAAATCATACCCTAATTTATAACTAATTTAGAATAAAAATTAAATTTTTTTAAACTGAGACAATGTCCCTTATTAGAGAGCTTTTCATATCCATATCCATTCGAATAGCTTTGTTTTCAATAATATCCTGTTTATAATGCAGATATAAATTGTTATGTAAATTTGTGTAAAATAATATTTTTAAAAAAATTTAAATATAGGCGTAAATAAATTCCAACTCTACTTGTAAGGTTCCTTTTGCGCAATATTCCATCAGTATATAAATTTTTGGCAGTTCAAATGATATAGCAAAAAATCTACTCAAGTTTCCATGTTGAATTTCACGCATCTTTGATCAAATAAAAATGGTAAAAAATTAAACAGATAACTATTTAAATGTTAATGTTGAAGATAACCATATAAGGCTATGATAAATGAATGAATAGTTACTCTAATCTATTTATAAATATAAACTAACTTTATGTCAAGCCTAATGTCTTAATTTTTTTGAAATAAATTAGATATTAGACTCAGATTTGTTTGTTATCTCCCTCTGAGAAGATATAAAAGATCCTTTATTACTTTGAGTTTCTCCGCAGTAATAACTAATTAGTTTGATTTCATTAAAAAAAATTTAACGTCAATTTTCAAATTCGTAGCAAATAAAATGACTTGAACAAAAATGGGCTGATGCTTTTTCATCCTTAAATCCCTGATAATTTCAGCTCCTAAAAAATTTTTCCCTTTTTATTTAAGAATTAGCCCCCCTCCCTACTTTCCTAATTACCCCCCCCCCTCCCCTTGAAAATTTCAAATTCATTTAATTAACTGAAATTTCCCTAAATAATTGTTATTAATACATAATATATAATATCTAATCTATTTTATTTATATAACGTTGAATATATTTAAATTATATATAATTATATGAAAAAATAAAAATATATTACAAAATAGAGAAATATTGATGATTATACTATAAAAAAAGAGACGACTATGCAATGCTTAATATGATCTAAGTGCATTTCCTTTTCTTGTTGTCCTTCATTTGGACTTGCTTCTACTCTAGATTATTTAAATGGTTTATTTAGCTAATTAATTTATTAAGGAAAAAATATTTTGAATGTCTACTTTTTAAACTGGTATATTTTATAGCTCTAAAATCAAATTTTTTTTATTTTGACTAATTTTAAAAAAAATTAGTTGGCTTAGGTTAGGACATAAACTATTATTGGTGATGAACGATATCAATAATTTAAAATAAAATTTTACTTGTTTCAAATCATAAATGAAAATTTTTTATATGAGAATACTATTTATTTGAGCAGATACTTTTACGGGGAAAAATTTTAAAGTTATACATCAAATAATTTTAAAAAAATTAAAATAAACGAATATAATCCAAACAAGTGCCCCATACCACCTGAAAGTTTTAATGAAGGTCATACATCTATCCCTCCCTCCCGTTTGAAAAATTTCTACTAGGGGCTCGCACTCAAATCTTGTTTGATACAGATTTTTACCTCTAAATCAATCGACCATATAAAAAATTTAAAAGATATTTGTTGGTGGCTAAATTTTTATTTAGCATTAGTATTCGTAGCTTGATGAGGTCTTGCATAAACTACTGGTAAAAGTCTTCAATATAAATTGATAATATTTATTTAGTAAAAAGCTATTTACATATTTAAATTCAATCAACATCTGACGGGTTATCGTAATTTGTTCCTCAACATAAATATATCTAATATTGACTAAGTTTCCCTATAAATAAATATAATGTCATTAAATAATAGTTTGTTTACCCGAAATTCACCATAATGTAAACTTTTAAGTGATAACAAGGAGGTATTACTCAATTCTTCGTCTTCTATTATATGAGTGTCTTCTTTAAATTTTTCCTTTTAATATAATTATTTTCTATGTGAAGTAAAATTACAATTTCGTATTTACTTCTGTAGGAATTGAGCTGGCTTTTATATTAATAGATGCCCTGCTTTTCCCATGCGACATTTTAATATCACTAAATTTAGCCTCCCACCATCTTTCACTTAATTCAGATTCTAATTTAAGTTTTCTACATCATAATAAATATAGTATTAAATAATTTATAGTATCCCTTGGCAAAAACATATTGTAGTTTAAGTAAGGTGATTAGTTACATTTTTGTGAAAAATACTTAATAGTTACATTTAAAAAGATTAACTAGCAACTATAATTAGTTATATTTTTGAAGTGTATCGAAAAAGATTCAAGTCCCCTTTTAAAATAGTTATACAATATAATATTTATTTATTATCTTTATATGATGATTTCCAAAATTTAAAATAAAAATGTTTCACTTACGTAAAATTCTCAGTTTATTTTTGAGAAAAACTAGTACACCTTTAGGCTTAGAAATAGTTGATTGTTAATATCAAATTTATTATAAATTTTTACGAAAAATAATCACATCTATTTTTATATTTATGCGGTGATAATTGTATGTGGTAAATATAAATATACTATTTCCTTATTTAAATTGTGTTTCATTTAATTTTCCGTGATTTAAATTTGTAAAAATATATAATAAATTTTTTTTTATTAAACATGAAGATTATACAAATAATTTATAAAGTAACTTGCAATATAATGAAATTTAATTGTAACTACTTACTTTTAAATAATGTAACTAGCAACTGTAACTAATTAACTTTGTTAGGATTTAACTAGAAATTGTAACCAGGGTTTGGCATATATAGGTCAATGGATATTTTCGATTGTCAAACTCAAATACTCTAAAATATTATTGGCTAATTAATATTTTCATATAATTAACTAGTAAGCATTAAATGTTTATCAATCTTATTAGGGTACAATTTATTTAAAAATATATTTGTATCATGAAGGAATCGTTTTAATTATAATTTTATATTAAAATTTCAAACGAATTTATTTATTTTTTAAAATAAATAAATATAAAAATTTAGCTAAGTCGTGGTTTATTATTTAATATTTAACCAAGAATAAATTATATTAATTCTCATTTATTTTACTTGCTACATTTGAATTTTTAATTAATCTTCTTTTTAGTTGTTCTGGTCAGATTTACAAATAATTTAATCAATTTTGGTAAAAAGTTATATATTATATTACATTTTATATTCTATATAATATTAAGCCAAATTATTTAAATAATTGGTCGATAATTAATTATAAAATAAATAAGACAGATTAACTTTACAGTAATCAAAATGTTTTATAGTTAAATTTTAATATATTAGAGACAATGGTCAAGGTTTGGCCCCCTATTTACCCACGTTGATAGAATAGTCAAGCATTTATTAAGCAGCTGTCAAAATTAAGGAAAAATTTTATTCAAATTCCAATCAATCTCGACAAAAAATCACACAAATGTAAGATGAAAAATTGGGTAAAATTAGTAAAAATAATTATCAAATTGACAATAATTCCATTATCTCTAATCAATCTACAAGCAAGCCAAAGAAAAAAAATAGCTCAATCAACTGTTGCAAAGGCTGTATATGTGAGCAATTTACCTTTCCACATCACTGAAAACCTCTACATCCAAGAATTCTTTAAAAAATACCTATTTACATTTTACATAGGTGAAGGCAGCTGGCTGGATATCTTTTAGACAAAGAATCAGGAGATATGGAGACGAGAGTTGCAGATATAATAGAGAAAACTCCTATCAATTGTGTTAGATGGCTGGAGCACAGAAACGAGAGTATTGTTAATTTTATGATGATAACGCCTGTCCAGTATTCTACAAATTTTTAAATACTGAGGAAAATCTGCCAGTAGAAGCCCAGGAATTTAAAGTAATTCTTGAATTGAATCCGGTAAAAGTATATTCTTTAGTTACCGATAATGCCGCTAAGATGAAAGCAGCCTAGATAATTTTAAAACCTGAATCTATTTAAAATCATATACAATGTTATGGTTGTGTAGCACATACATTGCACTTATTCTCCCACGATTTTGAACGATTAAACGCCTGCAGTTACCATATATCAATAATTAAAAAAATTGTTAAATTTTTCAAGAATAAACACATATCAGCTGCAGTATTTTCCCGTAATAAGAATCAACATGGTATACCATCTACATTAAGTAAAATTAGCCAAACAAGATAGGCATCGTAAATAAATGTATGGAACAAATACAAATATGTAAGAAAGCCCTTAGTTGTTGAAGAATCTGTATTATATATTTGTCCCATATAAATTACCAATTTTATTTTAAATGAAGAAATATTTTGGACGAAAATTTTGGGTTATACTCCAATCTTTAGCTACCCATTGTTGAAAGTGCAAGGCCACGTAAAAAAACGAAATGCTTAATTTGGAAAAAACATAATACAATCACACTATGATTCTCTATTTTCTCCATCTAAGAAAAATAAAGTTATGCTTGAAAAAAGAAAAAATAATCAAAATAAATGTGTTCACAATGCTGCTTATTTATTGGACTCCCAATATCAGTGGGAGCATCTTACTAGTATTGAATTTAATGAAGCATGTGATATAATACAAGAATTAGGTATTTTACACGGTTTTAATAATCAAAATATTTCAGTGATATAATAAATTTTAGAAGTAAAAGCAGCATATTTAATAGCCAAAATATGTGGAAAATGGTAATTTCCATAAAATAACAATCAGATTTCGGCCTCAAGTTGGTGGAATGCGCTTCTCTCACTTTGCCCATTAAGAGAATTGGCTAATATTTTACTAACATTTCCTAGTTCGACTTCTTCTTCAGAAGGAAATTGGTCTGTTTGGGGCAATATTCATATGAAAAACATAAATCAATTGAAGATTTATACAACAATAAAATTGGTAAGAGTATATCATAAATTAAGATTGATTAAAAAATTAAGGAAAATAATAATATTGAATACGAATCGGAACAAGACTCTGCCACGGAAGGCGAAGCATTAACTATGGAATGAATTAAAAAAATATTATAAAATTTAATATTACATAGATTCGTTATAATATTATATATATTCAAAATAAATTTCATATTGGCGTAAAATTGAATTTGACCATATTTGATCGGTTAAATATCGGTCAATTAACCGAATCATATTTGTTCGGTCAAATGCACAACCCTGATTGTAACTAGACAATTTTCAAAAGAAATTTTTAATAACTCAAAGAAAATATATATATGTGTACTTATATACAAAGAAGGCCAATATAAATCCAACAATAACAAAACATGCCAAAATAATAGTGCTTATTTCAAGCAGGGTTAAAGGATCTAAAATATAAGAATTTATTTTTTAATTATTTAATATTCAGACCCGAGGGAAAGCATATCGGATTATCACCCCGAAATCCACATTTAGGTTCATTTGGCGGAGGCTCTAGTCTGATAGGCCAGTGCATTTCATACCCATCTTGAGGTAATAATATATTTTCTTCGCTAATAAACACTAGTGCAGGCTAGTGCCATCATTGTAAATATGAAATTAATTTGTTTGTTTTATTTACTTTCCACTTGAAGGTTTTAGGATCAAAATCCCATATATTATAATCTAGAATTCGATCACCTTCATTGTCAATAGAAATTATTCCCATATCGGCTATAATATTTCCTAAGTATTAAAAATATAAGCAGTTAGTAACTTAAAAAATGTCTATTTTTTATTCTAGATATGATCTGCACACCTTCATTAACATTTCCTCCTTCTTCTAAATGTTCTTTCAAAGCTTGTGCATATATAAGTAATCCTTCATATAAACCCGATAAAGCAATGCTAATCTTGTTATTATTTCAATAATATAACCTAATTTGTTAAAGATTTTATAAAATAATTTACTTCTTCATTTTTAAAGTCATTTCCAAAATACCATAATTTCGAAGAAAAGTTTTTGATGTGATTTTTAAATTCAATCGTTTCTTTATTATCGTCCACTTTTGCAGAAATAACAATCAAAGATTCATAAGCCTTTTTTAGATCCTTAAATATAATATGATAATGCTAATAGAGGAAAAATCTCTGACTTACCTTCCCTTCTTCCCGGAGAAAAATAAAGGGAATTTCCGAAAAACCTCTTAATGGATAATATCTAAAGTAAAAAAAAAACTAAGAAATTAAAATCTTCATGGTGTGTTCTTGTCCATTTATTTTTGATCACTATTTTAGCCTAGGCACAGCTTCTGATGAACACCCTATTTTAATTTGTTTTGGGTGGGTTTGTTATTTTTCTTATTCTGTTTTGTTTTGTTATTTTCTTGTTTAATCGAAGTCATAGGCATAGCTCAGGTTTTTTTAGGGGGGGGGGAGGCTATTAGGTGGATTTTTCCCAATAAGTTTTGAAGTCTTTGGTTATCTTAGATTTTTGTAAAAATTAATTTAGTTTTTCACTTTTTTTAAATATAAAATGCTTGTTTTCTATAAACCTGGAATTATAGTTATTATTTTAAAATGTTAGCACCTTTATTAATTTAATTTACAAATTTTTGTTAATATTGATATATTAGATAATTTTCGGCGGAAGAGGTGGGGGGGGGGGTGTATGGAAAAAATTTATATTGGGTGAAAATGATATTTACGAAAATAGGTAAATAAAGTTAGAATATCTCCTTGACCCCCCCCCCCGGGTACGCCTATGGCCGAGGCTATGCCGCCGGCAAAACAGCTGGATGTATAATAATAGGTCGAATCGACACACCCTGATAATTGGTTATATTTGCAATTAATAGTTATAAATAGGAATCACTATAAGTAGATGGAGGCATAGAAAAGGAAATTGAATCAAGGATAGATTCAGGTTAAGTGAAATGAGAAGCCAATGTGACAAGAAAATGCCCTGAATGCTAAAGTAGGAATTATATAAATCGGTTAGATAAATTGTTACAACCTATTCTATATGGATCTGGGCGCTGTATAAGAAAAAAACACTCTACTATAATAGAACATATAATGTTAGGGTAAATAACGGGACTAGTGTTTGTTTCCAATATTTTAGGTGGGTAGTGGGTAAGAACTTAAGGGAAGTAGTCTATGGGGTTGGACAAAAAGGGTAAATTTATTGGGAAGGATTATTTAATTTTTAGACAAAATAAGGTATAAAATATTGCTTTAAAAAAATTATTTTATACTTTAATTATAAAAATACAAGGATGTTGCTAAACATCGAACAAATTTATAATTACATACAATCAGTGTCATTATTTTTCAAATCAAACTTATCACTGGATAATTTTCTGCTATCTTTTTATATGTAATTTAAAAGAGTTAGACATTCTATCAGCAAATGCATTCATTGTAAATAAGGGGGTTTTAATTATTCTTGTTCTAAATAATAACTCTTTTACATTCACTGTTTTGATAGTTGATAGTAAATTATTGATAATTTAGGTTATTCATTTTTAAATATATAAAGGGAGTAACGTTATAATTAAAAACGTGTAATTAATAATGTGGAAGAATGTTGTTAAACAAGTTAAAATGATACTGTTATGTAAACATAATCTATTATTTTAGTGAAAAAGTGGTGGTAAATACTTTATTGAGGGGAAAAGAAAAGATGGAAAGTTTAAAAAAATGGCAGAACTTTATAAATAGAGATAATAATTAAAATTATTTATGTATAAATGACTCAACAATAAAAATTATATATGTATAAAGGGTTGTGTGAATCCAAATGAATGAAAATAAATGAACTAACCACCATAAATGATGAAGATAAATAAATAAAAATAGAACTAGATTGAGGTATAGTAATAAAAAAAATGAAACCAAGGATAAATGCTGGCTGGTGTATCATGAAAATATTGTCCAATATGATGTAAACTATACATATCCATCATATAATCCATCATCTGGAATGTAAATAAGAATTAAAGGTAGATGTCGGATGTGACCCGAAGATTATGTTTGTGATACTAAAATACTGAAGGGCTTAAAGGAGGTTCCGATATGGATAAAGACATTGATGAAAACACTGAAATGATATAGATTAATGAGAAGACAAGATAATTGTTAGAAAAGTGATAGAAAATAATTATACTGACGAAAGAAAAGGAGACCAAATGTAATCAATACACATTGTTTATGCATAAATTATTGTAAAAATTCTTAATGTTTGATAAGATAATTAAATTTTTGTCTATATTAGATTGCTAGGGTCAGATTAATATTTATTTTGAAAAATTGCGGGAATTTTTGATAAGTTCTTTATTCTATGATATTATTGAGGTTTTTTAATACTCGGGAACCTAACAAAATGTATAAGATAAGCTTCATTTTAATTTGTCTTAACTTGAGGTTTTATTTTAAATGAATGTTAATATACATAGATTAATAATTTTAAATATTAAAGAATATTTTATTTTTTGGTTTAATATATTTACTTCCTTCCTGCTATCTTGTTCAAAATCAAAGTATGTTCCACCTAAACAATCACATTTCCAAAGTTGGACAGTAATAAACACATAATCGCCTTGAGTTAACATTCCTAAATCATAGGCATCTAATAGGATCTTCTTTGTTGTACTTACGCTGGTTGATAGAACAAAAACTATTTTTATTGTAAAAGATTTAATTAAAAAATTCTCTAAAACATAATTCAAAATTTTCTCTTGCTGTTCCAGAAAAGCAACCAAGATTATATGTGTAAATTATTAAGAATTTGAATAAAAAATTGTCAGTTTTATCCTAACGAACTAAGAAATATATACTTTTTTGACAAATTCAGAGTTTTCTAAGAAATGTTAAGAAATTGTTTATTTTTATAAATAATTTGTGCTCAAACAAATTAGCTCTATATTTTAATATAACTAATCAGTTCAAAGGCATATAAATCAGTGTAACCCCCAGCGGAAAGGTCAAACGGATCGCGTCAGTAAAATTGGTCCGTATTTTTGAGCAATTGCGCTTTATTTAGGGGGTCAATGGACAATTTTTAAATTTTCTTTTCTAAATTTTAATATTAAATTTTTTAGAGTTGTCAATTTATTTTTAGTTTACTATATTCCATTTCAAATATTTTTATTAAACATTTGTATTTATCTATAGAGAGAATCGATTGTTTCTTTATAATAAAATTTTTAATTATCCTAAATATAATTTAATCCACAAATTTTGTAAAGATACTTTTTTAATTTTAAGTGCAATAGTAAGTACTTATTTAGGGTAATATAAAAATTAATTCCGAAATTTAATAATTTTACCTTGTTTTTGAATTATGCAAAATATTAAAAGGGAAAAAAATCTCAAGTGGCCACTTTTATAATGGTAAGAATGATATACGTAAAATTTATATTAAATAAAATTGCCCTATCCGTTAAAACCAGCATATTAATTAAGCTAGAAAGTGTCTTTGATGTCAACAAGAGTCTTATAAATAGTATGCTAAATAAAATAGGGAAACAATCTTTAAAACTTTTTAATAATTTCGCATTTACTAAATCTATTCAGAGAGAATGTATAATATTTTTCCTCTTAAAAGTCGTCAACAATTAATTTAGATTTATTATTTCTTATAGTAAAATAGAAACAAATATACAATCAAGGAAACTATTAGCTCAGATATCATTTGTCTAAAAGAAAAGTAAAAAACTATACCTTTCAATTACCGAATTAGTAATTTATTTTATATAATAATATTTCATTGTATATTTTCATTAAAAAAAATTTATTTAAAATATTTTGCGCATATCCGAGATTAGATCTTAAAATTATTTCAGAATATTTGGATTCGAATTCTGACAGTTAAAATTTATAGAAAATCATAGAAATGCAGAGAGTGATATTCATGTTGTTGATAATGGGCAAACATCCAAATTATATATAGGTAAAATAGCTGTATACAATTACTTCAAAGCAACCATTATAATAATACTAGCAATATAAATCAAGAATGTCAAATTTACTTGGCTAACATACTATAACAAACCTTCGGCACTACCCTTTTGGAAAAAGCTAGTGAAACTTCATAGACTTACTAATTTAGCTAGGAAAGGATTCTACACACTTGCAATCATTACATCTAGGGAAATACTTTTTTCCATATTTCAATATTTAATGCTAAAAGAACCTCTTTACCAAAAATCTCGGCAGGACAATATTTATTTAGGACAATTATAATTTTTGATTTCTAATTTATAAATATTTTTTACTTTATATTTTGTTTGCATTCCAAATTTATATATATATTTATTTTTATAAAAATTGATAGAATATTACCTCTGGCCTAAATAAAAAAAGCCAATTATAGTCTATTTCTGAAAATAAAATATATATAAATTTATATAGGGGTAGGACAGGAAATGATTTAAGAACTAAACTATATTAACAACGAACTAAAATTGCTTAAATTAATTTTTAAAAAATTGTAATATAATGAATTATAGATTAAATTCATTTTTTAAAATATTTGGGGCCGCCAATGCCACCGCTAGTTTAATAAGCAGCTGCTAATTAGGCTCATGAACACCGATAAATTTAAAAACTTGCCAACGCCGATTGAGACTTTGGCGTAAAGGTCTTAATATAAATAATAGATTTTCAAATTATTTCATTCAATTTTCAATTTATTCAATTCTATTTTCAAATTATTCAAATCCATTTCCAAATTATTTGATTTTCTAGGAATTTTCTTTGTAATAATAAATAATAAAACTATTCTACAAAAATCATGAGTTTCAAATTTCAATTAAATTCTAAACCGAAAAATTTATTATTTATTGTAAAAGGCTTAATATGAAAATTTCAGTAAGAATTTTAAAAATATATATTCGAATAATTGGAATCAGACAAATACATTAGTATAATATTTGTCTTGAAGAAATGCGATTAATTTGAATATTCGTTAAGAAAAGAATATTTATGATGCTAATGTGAATATATGGTGAGTTGATCTATTGTTGCCCACAAATATAAGTTCTAAATAACACGTTTGACAAAAAACTTTTTGTTACAAATATTTAGAATTTGAACCAGTTTTACGATATTAAACAATTATATTCTAAGATTTAAGGGATAAAAACAATCAATATTAGGAAAAGGATTACTATATTAGCCATGAATGGCTTCCTTTGGAGATAGTTGGCAGACAAAGAATTTAATTACCGAATATATTTATGTTTATATGATAACAACCTAAAATGAAAATAAAGAATATACAAGATAGATGTGGTAATATGAAATAAACTTTAGATATTAAACAACTTATATCTGAGTAAAATATCAAAAAATTTGATACTTAATTTATGAGTCTATAGAGACATTATTATTTATACCTCCACTCATTGCTCCACAAAACTAAAAAATAAAAGCAACAAAATAAAATATTTTAAATCTAATTATGGCGGATTATTTTTGGTTGTTTTTATTTTTTAAATATTAGAGAGGGTTAAAATTACTTTCAAATCTATCTCAAAATATTAAATACCTCCAATTATTTATTAACTAAAAGTATATGTTTATTTTTCAAAGCAATGTTATAATATTTAAAATTCAGTTTTCTTTTGAAAGATGGTACAAACTTTATTTTAAAAAATATAATTTTTTATCGGAAGACGGTTATCTTATAATCTATATGTCGGGGAAGGGCTTATCTGATTGTTGTATATGGTCAATCCCTACCCTTGATTAAAGGTTAAAAAAATATATAGCTAAGGAGTTGTAATAATCTATTATTTATTAAGAAATATATATACTTCTCGCAAATGTGCTTCCGTACACTAATGGATATATCAAATTATAATCTAATCTAACAAGCGAAGAATTAATTTTGTAAGTTGCAATAGGAGGTGGAATAGAATTTTGTAAAATTAATAGACTAAAATCTAAGCTGTTCAAACCAAGATCTGAATATTGGTCTTCAGACAAAAAAAAATAATCATTCCATCCATAAATGTTTATTAGGGCTAAATTTGCACTATGCAAATCGGTCGTCTTCATTCCAGTACGTAGTAGAGTGGGCCACACAGATGGATTCGTTGCTCCTGGTCCTAAAGATGTAATTATAGGTAGCCCCCACCTGGAACTTAAATAAGCGACTGATACAAAAGTCAAATAGCAAAGGGGTCCTAGGAAGGCAGAAATTTTAATTCGATAATATAAACGACCAGCATGATATGTGGCAAAATCTTCCGAGCATTCGTAATATATCGTTTTTTCTGAATCAACACTTCCAGTATCGGCAAAGACAAGCCTTAATTCCGCTTTAAATTTTACGCCGTTCTTTTTAATCTTGTTTTTAAATTGGCCATTTGAATTGATATGAATAAATTTTCGAAAATATAAATTATTAGCTTTACGGCTAGCCAGTAAAATAGTCCCATATACTTTTTCTAATGTAAATGGAAAATTGCCGTAAAATGGAAAAAGTAGGCCCAATTTTATTATCAATTTTGGGTATACCTCATCAGCTATTGTATCATTCTTCACACCTTTTATTAACTTGCTTTTTGTAGTGGTGATTATTTCATCATATTCATTTTCTTCCTCGTATAACGAATCTTTTAATTGTCTTTTTCTGGAATTATCATTTGAAAATATATCTATTCTCGGAAATATTAGGTTAGGAGAATAATAGATACTATTGTTTTTTTTAGTCATATTCAATGTCAGACGAGAATAAATGGGCATTATATACAATATCATTATTAAGTGAAAACCCATCACAAATTTAATGGCTTGAAAACAATATTGTCTATATTTATCTAATATTTGGTATTTATAATTAAATTCGGGTCGTAGAAAATATTAAATTTTAATCACTATGACAAATAATGTGAATTTGTTATTTTATTTGAAACTAAGCATTTTTTATTAAAAACGAAATAGATGTTCTAAATCACATTATTTAAATAAAAAATTGATAGTAAAGTAAAATATAGGAAAATGATATTAACTTTGGGCTCTCAATTACTCACCAAACACCATGAAGAAGTACCTCGACTCGAAGGACTTGACATTTTTCAAATTTATAGTCTAAAAGTATAAGAAGAGATTCGTAATTATTTTTGTTTTGCGCTTGGGGACAAGAATTTGGAGTAAGCCTCTAGGGATAGTTTCTGTGTGTTCTTCATAAAATATTCTAAAACATGGATTTATATATAAAAATATATTAATGGGAGATGTAATACACTTATTACAGACCTGTGCTGAGGAACATCAAGTGCTGCCTCTTTTCTAATAGATGAACTAAAGCATAACTTAGTAAAAAGGTAGGGCTACGTCTAGACAGATGAAATTTAGTTATGGTTAGATTTTTTTAAAATGGGTAATTGTTAATATAATCTGAGATAAATTTTATTGATTTTAGAATATAATTTCATTCATTTATAATAAAATAAAGAAATTCGACAAAATTTTTATAAAATTATAAACTGGTACTAATGTTTTCGGGTTCATATAATTTTCAGAGGAATAATATGAATCAGGTTTATTTTATAAAAGAATCCCATGATATATTTTAATAAATTCATGAAGCATTTATTTTATTAAAGAATCAAATTTATTCTTCACTGAAAATGCCTGGCTTGTTAATCGATCCTTTTAAAAATCGAATCAGATCTTTTCAAAAAAAATGGATCGAAATCCAGGATCGACTTTTTTTAAAAAGAGGATCGCGATCACGATCTTTTTCTTATTTAAATTTCTGAAGGAAATTACTGATCGATGCAAAATTAATTAATATAAAAATAAATTAAATATGGTATTAATTTATTGAATTGAATAATATAAGTATAACAATTAGAATATATTTATTTATAATTAAAATTAACCTTTAATAATAAAAATTTTATCATTCAAACAACCACGTCTTTCATCAAGCACATGTTTAACATTACTAAACAAGCGCTCCACAGGAGCGCTTGATGGCAAAAGTGTGTTATTTACAATATTTTTTTAAAATTAACATATTCGATCTAGAAAAGGCCTTCGATAGAATCCCAAGAAAACTTATCTGGTGGGCGCTACGCCGCAGAAGGGTTCCTGAAAAATATATAAGAATAATACAGGATATGTATATGGGTCATGCAACAATGGTCCATAGCACAACAGGTACTTCAGTAGGCTTCACAATAGCCGAAGGAGTCAAAAAATCGGCTCTCAGCCCACTTCATTACAGTAATAGATGTATTAGCACAGTCTATACCTCAAATAGTGCCATGGAATATGATATTTGCAGATGATATTGTGATACTTGCCGAATCTAAGGATGAAATGAAAAAAAGATTAGTAAGTTGGATAAATATCCAAGCACGGACTAAAAGTAATTAGAGAAATGACTGATATAAATGAATGGCAGATATCGGCAATTGAAAGTTGCAAATATTTGGGCTCCACTATACAAACGGCACAATAGAAAAAGAGATAAAGAGTAAAATTTATCAAGGGTGGTTAAAGTGGAGATATTTATCTGGAGTGCTATTTGACAAAAGTCACACAAATTAAAGGGAAAAATTTACAGTTCCATAGTACAACCAACTATTCTATATAGTTCGGAAACAAGGCCAACCAAGAAATCAGACGAGAGAAGTCTGCAAACTATGGAGATGAGAATGCTGAGGATGATTGCTGGGGTAACAAGAAAGGATAAAGTACGCAGTACAAGAATACTAAGTAGTTTAAAGGTAGTGCCCATAGACTAAGTTAATGGTAAACAGACTTAGGTGGTATGGGCACACAATGAAAAGGCCTATGAACTGCATAGGAAATAAGGTTGAGAGTTTGAAGTGATGGGCAAACGTAAAAGATGAAGGCTAAAACTTCAATGGGGCCATAAAGTTAGAGCCAATATAAAGTATAAATTAGATAAAAGAGATATTATGAATAACATAAAGTGAAAAGAGATGTTGAAGGAGCTTACCACCAGAAAAGGTAAAAGCTAAAGTGAAAAAAATAATATAATAAGTATTAAAAATACTCATTGAATCATCATTTGAATAAAAAAAATTATTAATGGAACAAGCATTTTGTGAAGAATTTTTCACAAATAAGGTATCAATTTTATCCATACATTCATTTTAAGCATCTGCATGTGGTTGATCCTGCATATTTCCCAAATAGGCAATTAACCTTTCTTTTACCAACATATTTTCTGGTAGATTAATATAAGGCCAATTTTGCTTAAATTTTGGGGGAATTATTGCTGTCATCATGTTACCGTCATCATACAGTGGAGGAAATCTATATTAAGAAATGATAATTAATTTATTATCAATAGTATATGTATTATCTTCTAATTCTATAAGGGGGGGGCATTATTAAAACCTAGAATTTATATAATTTAATTAAATAAATAAAAAATTTAGTCTCTCAATTTCGTTCTAGATAAAATTTAGGAAATTGTTGAAATATAAAATATGGTGGAATGGAAGTTGATAAATATGATGTAGATAAATATTTTTTTAAAAAATAATATTTTAATATAATTTTCAAAATTTTTATTTTATTTATTGCATTTAAGTAAAAAATTAATTTTTAAATGATCTCGATCACTATCCTCAAATTAAGTTAGGTTCATAAATCCAGGGAAATTGGCAAATTTAGGATCGAATCCAGGATCGGCGATCTTTTGATTCGATCCTTTAACAACTCTGGAAAATACAAATAGTTGTTTATATAATAAAATATTTTATATTTCACCGATGGTAACAAAATGACCTTTCGAAATAAATTGTAACTTGTATAATGTCATTAACAATTAGAATTTGTATAGTTCAATGTTATTAACAAAAAAAGAAAAACAATTTAAAATTTGAAAGTCATTATCAAAGCAAAAAAAACTAATAGTTTAAAGGAGAATTAAAAAAACAATTTAAACGAGTTATTAACATTTAATTTATTTTTTAGTTTTTGCCCTTTGTCGATCATCCTATCATTTGTCCTTCAGAAATTTATCACTTTTTGTGAATATCATTTTAAGCTAATAAAAAATATCCCCCTTAGTCCTCCCCCCCCCCACTTCCTGACCCTCAAAAATGTATGCATATATCTTAAACAATAATTTGAAAGAAAGAATGTAAAAGTTGATATTTTTAATCTATTTATCATAATTTATAAATTTTTGGAAAAAGCATTTATATATATATAAAAAGTGAACCAAAAATGTTTTTTAAGAAATGGAATATAAGCCAAAGATAAGTCTTAAGACAAAAGTGAAATGTATTATAATTATTAATAATAAATCCATAAAATTACTAAATAATATAATATATCATATACAATTTTTTATAAAGTGAGTAATTTTAATTTATTTATCTTAATAAAAGTAAAATATAATTATAAAACTATTGATAAAATTAAATCATAAATTATATAAAAAAAATTAAATCACAATACAAACAGTGGAATAATATATGTCGTAGATTTACAGTATCTAATTATCAATTATCATATGACAATCAAGTAATTTTTACCAATATAGCGAATTATATATTTTCAAAAATAAATAAAATATTGATAAGGACATCAGAAAATATCTTTTAAAAACATTGTGGGATGAATAATATGAAGATTAATTTTTAATATCATTTTTTTATTTAAAATAAATAGATGGCATTAAATAATTAAATGCAAATTGTTGCTATATTTATTATCAAGCAAGAGCATTGATTAGTAAAATTTGTTAAAATATTAACTGTAATATATTTTCTAACTGTCAAATATGTCTGTAAAAGTGGAATTTAACCTAGTATTTTGTAACTAATCCTATATAATAGAGGAATATCAACTACTTTTTATAAATAAATTTCTTATACTTGTTTGGAATAAATTAATACCATGCTTTTATATTAAATGTATATACAAGTAATTTATTATATTTTATATAAACTAATAAAAATATATTTCATATTTGTTCCAGGCTTATTTTTTTTATTAAAATTAACCTCCTCTTGTAAAAATATTTTATGACTATATTGTAACATTTAGATGTTTTTAGAAGGATTGAGAGATTAAAATCGTTGTCAAATAAGAAAGGTTAAAATAACATGATACTAAATCTTTATTAAATCATAAGTTAAAAATATAATCAAACTAAATTAATTAAAAAAAAATTAAAATAATAAAAATTAAAATAATAAAAATTAAAATAAAAAAATTAATTAAAAGTAAATTTTAGTTAAAATAATAATCCCCTTTTCGCATCATAATTTCTCCATTATATATCCTTTTTCTTTAATCAACATTTACATAGTCTCACTAGCGAAGAATAAAAAGTTCTACATCCCACTTGTTAAAATTGTTAAAGTATGAAAAATTCTACAAATCTCACGCGTTTTTTTCTCATTTACATAGACGGGGATATTTTAATAAAACATTATTTTTGTTTACGATTTGCATAATGCATTTTTTTGTAAAGTAAAACTGCAACATATATATAGACTAAGGTAACCCGGCAGAAGGCCCACCCAAAATAAGGACTGGGGGCAAGCCCCCAGTAATTTGTTAAATCCCTCCTCTCTTAGGAAAATCCTGGCTACGCCTATGCCTATATCATCATTTGTTACTCGTTTGTCCTTTGTTGATCTTGAGTATATTTCATTAGTTTTCATCCACAAAAAATAATCTTGTATATATAGTATAAGCTATTGAAATGAAAGTTT